CAATACATTCACGCGGTAAGGGCCATAGCACATTAAAAGTGTAAGTAATAAGATTTACCTAAGTAAAAACCGTTATTTAAAAGGTTGCGGTTCTTTTTTATCAATTAAAATACCGAAACTGGAACTGGAACAGTTATTAAATGTTTCTTTGAACCGTAACAGTAAAGCGAACCGAAATATCATATCGGTCATAGTCTCTGCTTACATCGCAATGTATCCAAATATATCAAAAAAGAAGAAACTTATCTAAAAAATATTAGTGGACTTATGGTAAAAATATTACTAAAAAATAATTTTTTAAATTGTAATTGTGACATGTATAAATTTCTACATTATAACGAAGACAAAATGCGTAACGTTAAAAGCTATTTTCAGAAAAAATTAAATAATTTAACTTGTCATAGTCTGAAAGAATTGGAAAAAATTATATTCCAGAAATTTAATCTGTAGAATATATTGTAAAAACACACAGATTCCATTACAGTGTGGCCCGAAAAGTGCAATTACTTTTTGGTGACTCATGATAAAGCTTTCATATTTGACTGTTCTAATAAAAACTTAATGCACTAATGTGTCAAACAATATAAAAAACCTAACATTTTCTCAACTTAAAGTTTTGCAAAGTCAATTAACACATAATTGCATTTTTATTTGAATTTCTTTCATAATCGATCAACGCAAAGGCCAAACTTGAAAAAATCGGTAAATAAACTTTCTATCCTGCAACAACGTATCTAATATTTCTTTAAGTAGATTATCAACAACACTAAAAGTGTGTAATACAACTTATACTTTATCTACAAAATAATTTATATAACAAAAGTTTAAACAAATTGTTAGAAACATATATCACAAAAGCATCCAAAAAATAAAAAACGTTTAGTTAACAAAATTTTATAAATTGATTTTTAATTTCTTTCAGATAACTGTATATAATAATCTATATAAAATATATATATGGCAGATATAAAACTACAAAACTGTGTATTATGTAAACATATTATAAATAAATGTTATCTCATTAAAACTTTAAAATTTAAAATTGAATTATTTATTTCAGGTTTTAGAACTACACAATAATAAATTGTCAAGAATACATCCTAACGTGCTGAGATTTTGGAAAAATTCTACCAATTTAACTCGCTTGACGTTACATGAAAATTTGTGGGAATGCGACTGTGAAGCTAGAGATTTTTATAATTATATTCATTTAAAGTCCGACATAATCAACATGTCTAAAATAACATGTCACAGAAAGTGTACTTCCATATCAAAAATGACCTGGGACGATTTTCGTCCATCTAACATAACAGTGATTATCAGCATTAGTGCTGCAATTGCTCTTATTGCATTAATTATTGGTTTAATTTTTGGTTTGTATTACAAATACCAAACACATATTAAAGTATGGCTATTTGCGTATCAGTGGTGCTTATGGTTTGTAACGGAAGAGGAGTTGGATAAGGACAAATTGTACGATGCGTTTGTAAGCTTCTCGCATAAAGATCACGATTTTATAGCGAGCTGATGCCAAAGCTAGAGAGTGGCCCGACACCGTTCAAATTGTGTCTTCATCATCAAGATTGGTAGGCGGGCGAATGGATACCGAATAATATTACTAGATCCGTGGAGAATTCTAAACGAACAATAGTGGTACTGTCGTCAAATTTTTTGGAAAGTGTCTGGGGGAGAATGGAATTTCAGGCTACTTATCGTCAAGCGTTGAACAAAGGTTGGGCTCGAGTGCTCTTGCGAGTGAATAATCTTGTACTGTGACATTGGGCCGACAGATAATTTGGATCCTGAAAGCGTACATATCTATGAATACGTACGTTCAATGGAGAGATCCTTGGTTTTGGGATAGATTAAGATACGCGCTGCCGCATTAATCCTGACGACCGAAAAGCAGCTATACCCGAAGAGAGGCTCTCGAATCTGAACTGCAAAATCATGAACTGTAAACATAGATAACAAAAAACTTATTCATTGTAATTCTTAAGGCACTTGCAATCACTCTATTGTGAACTGATTTTTATCAACAGATATAGCTATAATAATGAGTAATGAAATTGATACAACTACAAAAATTATTTTCTATAATACAAAGAAAGAGGAGGTTTGATAGCGAGTAAAAATGATAAATTACGTAGGAATATCACCAACGATAAAATATATTAACTCAATACATTATCATATGTACTGTGTAAGATAGTTTATTCATCAGTTTGTTGCAATATTAGAAACAAAGTACTATTCCATAATTATACAATCTAAAACAAGAATAATACAGTTTCGCTATGCATGCAGAAGATCATCGTCTCTGTCCGTTTGGCATTATGTGCGATCTAAAGCATCGAGCAAGAAGTCTAGCTTCCTCGGTGGTATCAATCTCTATTATAAGAAATTACATATTGAAATAATATATTGAATGTATGCAGTAATTATTAAGAAATATGTAACGTATTTGCATAAATATTAAAGATAAAAAGAGATATACAAATGTACTCTGCAATATTGGATAAACTCCTTTTCTGAAACTAAGCGAATTTATCTGAGAGCGAAAGCACGCTCTTTCTTTTGGTTTACGGAAATAGATTAAAGCGATTAGTACTGCAATCACAGTTAATATTACTATACTTACTATTTTAGCTGTAAGTACGGTTTATCATCATAGTAAAATGTGTACGGTTGATCGTTATAGTAAAAAGTAGAAAGAAACTAATCATAATAAAAAAAAAAAAAAAA